GAGAAAGCCCTCCACGGGGCCCCTCGCCCGGCGCGCGCCCGCTCCGGCCCGCAACCACGCCAACCAGACAGCTGCACTCACCCGGTAGGCAAACTTCATCGCGGCCGCCACACGTGCCAGGCGGGGCACGCAGCAACAACCCGGATCACCACCGCCCACTGCAGCACTTCCGGGACCGGGACGGGGCCGCGGCCGGCGCACACAGCACGCACGCACTTCCGGGGCGGGGCCGCGCACGAAGGCACGCCGCGGAGCCAAGCTGGGTCCTTCCCCCGCCCTAAGTGCCTGGCCCGGGCCCCGCCTTCCTCAACCCCGCCCCAAGTCTTGCCCCAGCCCCTTTCCAGAGCCCCGCTCAAAGGCGGAGCCTTGAGCGGGGCCCGCCCTCAGCCCGGAAGCAGCAGCGGGTACTCAGATCACGGAGTCTGGGCTTGGTCTGCGGCCCGGAGGAAAAGCCTAGCACTCAGGAGGGTGAGAGTTCAGGTGCACAGAAGGGCTTCTTCTGGATGCGATGCCTACAGACTTCACGATGACGATCATGATCTCCACTATGATACCCACAAGAGTAGGAGTCTTGACATGAGTTGAAAACGGAGTTTTCCAAGAACTGGCCATGGTCCCAAGCCCCCAAAGAGGTCTACTCATTGGGCAGTTACTGTGTCAGACGCTCAGCTGGCAAATGCTATGTTCATAGAACTCCTCGACGCCCTTGGTTCTTGTGACTTACTGGGTGAGAGATATTAGAAAAAATCCCCAGCATGGCATTTCCACCCCACCCCATAAAAAAATCTACGCCTAAGAGCCAGGAACAAGGATAAGGGGGCAAATTTTTTTTAACTTTACACGTCCAATTGTTACACCAGGCCACAGCAAAGAATCAACTTCAAAACAGCAGTTTCTTCTTAAAATGTATATTTCCAGTTATAATGCTTACATTTTAAACAGCCTTAATACAATGGTTTTAGTCTAACAATATGTTACAGAACGTGAAAAGTGACTTTTCATATTAAACCATGAAAATAGAATTAATACCTGCAGTGTCAGTCACCAACTTGTCACCTTTTCCAGTCACAGAACACCAGCACATTGTACTAGTGATGCTTGTGGCTCTCAGCCTGACGCATAGGAGGAATACATTGAGTGAAAAGGCATTTTCAGGAGAAATTAACATTTTAAATGACATAGGACTCATTTTAAAGATCACAGTTTAAAGTAAAACATTTAAATCAACCAGGTTTGTTCTTTTATAAAAGGTTTCACTTTATATATAAACCTGGATTGTTTCATTTCATTTTAAAATTTAATCTTATCTTAAATACTAAAGAAAAATACAAGAGTAGCCTTGTGTGTATTTTCCTTACTAACTCTTTACAGGGTATCTATCTTCATTGACTAAGACTTACTAAAATGGGAATTAGACCCACCCCAGGCTGCGCTGACAATGGAACTGTAGGTAGAAGTCATTTTCAGATTAAATACAATAATTTCCACATTAGAATAAGAAAAGTTATAATTTTTCCAATCACAGGATACCCCATGAAATTCACAAAAATTATAACTTATTTTCTTTCCATTTACTAGTATTTACATGTTCCATAGATATTTGTGTAATGGCTGCACATTCTTTGATTTTTACATATACATTCTATTTCTGGCTTCACAATTACTTAACCGTTGCTACACCTTTATCAATAAAATCAATCCGTCTCAAACACTTAAACCTTACTTTATTTAAAAACACAATAAAAACCCAATTTCAGCCTTTTAGTTCCTTTTATAATAATATTAAGAAAACAAAGTGACTTAGGACATTTTGGGTAGTATTTAGCACTCATGTACACTGTCTTACTTTATGAAAAATCTTTTGGGTAATTGGGGGGAAAACGAAAACAAAAACTATGATAATTTTGATTCTATGCCATTTCCAGACAGTAAGAAATCACCATAAACATTTTGGTCTTCCTCTTCATTTTCTTCCTCTAAACATATATGTAAGTAGATATTATCATCCTGGGAGTAGAACCCAGATATGAGAAAATCAAGAACTCATAAATCAAACATTTATTTAATCACATTCCCTCTTCTAGAAGACAGAGGGGGAAAGTACACTGAGGAAGGAAGGGTGTGTTCTCTCGGCTCCAAAGCTGACAACGTGGACTAGAGGCTTTTCTGACAATCTGAAAGGTCTCTTCACTCATGGGAGTTGGCATATCTGTAGGGCAATCAAGTTTTACAATAAAAAAATCTTAAACTTTCATTAGATTCTGAAGTTCTAATTCACCTAACTAGTGTGACCAAGTTTAATAATTTTAAATTGCACACAAGATAAATTTTTGAAAACTTTAAACACACAAATTTTAATCTTAACATATTTGTCCAATTTCTACAAATGAAAAAGACAGGGGAAAATCATAGCTCTTTTTATTTATTGAGTGAGTTAAAAGACAACATACAAAATACTGAAAATGAGGCTCTGTTGTCCTTACTTTGATCTGTGCCTCCTTCCTGCCCCACCCGCCTCACAGGAGCACAGTGCCCAGCAGGACCACTGCTGCTGCAGAGGACTCCCATTTCTCCCACATACAAGGTGACTCACGTGAAGCCCCCCGGTCTGCTGGACCTGATTACAGCCGCTTGTATTAATCTTGTCAAGTTTGATTCCAAGTACACTTTCCGAGTAAATTAAGAGTACTCTATTTCATATATACAAAAATACATTGCTTTGGAGAGCTGGAAAAGGTTTAATACATGTAACACGTATTTACAAGCTGTGACTTTCACACCAGTTAAAACAAACACCCATTTGCTTTGTCCTTGATTTTTGGTGCAACTTATACATAAACATTACATCAGTTAGTCTGTACTTTAAAAAATAATAAATCAACCATATGTACAGTTAAATTTACAACCGAAAAGAAATGAATCCATTGGTATGGTCTGGCTGCAACTGAGTGAAGTGCAGACAATTCCAGAACTTGAGTCTTTCCCTGCAACCAGACCAGAAGTACACTGAGGACCCCCCTAATCTTCACTTTAAATGGAATATCTTAATTTCTAAGACTTAAGGTGCAAAAGGAAAATATTGATTATATAGCTACAACTGCATGTAAAGACTTTCAGCTTAAAGGTGAGAGAAAAGTAAACATTTTAAACCCCCCCCACATATATAATGATAATTAAAATAAATATATATTTAATTCCAAGTGCATATGATACTCAAATCAACATTACGGGAAAACAGGGTTCCAGAAACATCTATTCCTCAGCGACTTCGATGCTGAGTTGTTCCTCGTGCCCTGGCGGAGCCTCTCTAACTCGTACCCTGGCTCCAGCTGATGAACCTCCAGGCCACCAGGCTCTGGCATCCCAAGGCACAGAGGGAGCTATGTTCCTTCCCCACCCCCCACCCACCTGCCCCAAAGGGTGTTATTCTAAAAAAGAACAACTAGATGATCTGGGGTAAAAGACTGTGTGTTTTACTCCTTAGGAGATTCACAAATCCACCCCGGTCCAGAAGTTGGGCAGCCGTGTGACCAGAAAGGCACACGTGTGTCACCAAGAGGACTGCAAGGCCTGCTCAGTGTCTACCTGAGAGACAAAGGGCTTCCAACAAGAGCCAGCAGACAGGAGGCTGCTCAGTGGAGAGACCGCGGGTACAACTCTTCTATGAGAAGTGAGCAAGACTGGGGATGAGAAAACAAGAAGTGATTTCCTAGCACAGACTACACAGAAAGAATGATAGGACTCAGCTGGCCAGCAACAAAAGGTGGTTCTCTGATACCTCCTGGCCAAGCTAGGTCAACCCAAAGTCTCATGAGAGCTAGAATGTTACACAAGAAAACAATCCAGTTAGGTTTCCTTAAAGTGCACTCACAGCCCATCTGTGAAGTCTGCTGACTAAAGGCGTTGTCATGTGACACTGACTTCCAGGACATGGTCGTCTTGGCTGGGGACGACCAGGACTTGCAGGCCAGTACTGGAGTTAAAGACCTGGCCAGCTGGAAGTGCCTGTAGTCGGGGCATAGGCAGGCCCTTGTGCTCACTGCTGGTGGCCGAGTGCGTGCTGCCTCTGCTCTTGACACTGCTGCTGTCCAGCTGGTCATCCACATGCTTGTCCACTGACAGGCTGTCGTTCTCTATCCAGCTATCTGCAACACAACAGGTAATCAAGCCAGCTGCCTGCACCGCTATCAGCACAGAGACTGTTACCCAAGGCAGCCCCCTTTAAAGCAGATTCTCATGCCCAGAGCAGAGCAGGGACCTAAGGCTTCCCAAAATAATGGATACCGCCCACAGGCCAAGGCTCTAAGCTGCTGGTGTGAGTGTAGTCCATTGCCTCTCTACATGAGCTGCCACCTGACTCTGTACCTTTCTTTCAGATTCCTTACCAGCATCCAACTGTGAGGAGTGTGCAGAATGGTGGGGGAGGTACTTGAACAGCCTGACATCGGGCAAGGGGAGGTAGCCAGCAAAGAGGGGCATCACTTCCATGTGGACCCTGTGGGTGGCCCGGGCAGCCACTGGCATGGAGATTACACCACAACTCTTCCCACACACAGCCCAGTTGCTGCTGTTGTCCACAACTGAAACAGAGAGGAGACTGCCATTATACCCCAGGAAAGGTCATTTGGTATTCGTGCCAAAACAAGAATCTTTATTCACCAATTCTCTCACACTGGACACCATAGGATCCAGAACTGGAGAAGACATCTCAATGTCTTGTGACACACACACCTTAATACCTAAGACACAATATTTCTGTTAGTCCAAATTCTATTAGCTATAGTTTAGACTAGATCATATTGGATGCAGAGGGAGATTTAATTTTGATTTGAAATCTCCTTGAAAAGGTTGTATGTGATACTTTGAAAGGACAGTTCCTTTGGTTAGATGAGAATGGGCAGTGACACAGTGTAGTGGTTCTGTCTGGACACTGACATGCCTACAGCTTCGTAAAAAAATCCTATAAAGGGTTACAGATTTGTAAGATGACCTCACCATCCCTGTATCCAAGGGTTCTATAGTTTGCAATGTAAAGTCGAATGGAGCCAATTACGTGCCTGCATTATTTTAAGTGAACCAAAATGTCAGTAAATTCTTGCCCAACAACTTGTAGCCTCCCTTCTTCTTGCCCTTCTCTCAAATAAAACTGGCTTTCATGGCATTCATTTTCAGTGCATAGATGCTAGGCAACTGGAGAGTCATCCTAAGTCATGGCTCAAATCAATTTTATTTCACTTATTTTACCTCAGTCTTAGTCTTTCTTATAGGCAGGCAGAGGCCTGCCATGGGAGGCCTCGACTGCTGAATAAGAGTTTGGCTTTCATTTCAGGAGTCACAGAAAGATCCTGAATCTCATATGGAAAGTAAAAGTATGAGTATATTCTCAGCACCAAGGCCAGATATTAATAAATGCCTGTTAGAAGAATGCTCTATGGTAGCAAAGTTCAACATCCAGTGGGCCTAGGACCATGTCATATAACAAAACTATCAAGCAAGCCTTTTAAATTCTAGAGCTTTATTTCTTTGGACCAGGAATGCTATGTTCTTTGCAAGACGAGGCACTTCACTTAAAGTATTAGATTATACAACTTAGGAAAAAAGATGCCCCCAGAGCTACCTTCATACATAAGCTTTGTCGAAAAATACTCGTCAGATTCCGTCAGTGCTTCATCCTTATCCACCTCCAAGAGGTCGGAGAGCCGCGTGATCGACACCTCCAAGGAGCAAAGCGAGCCTGTCCTACAGTAGTCCATTCCTGAGGGGGGCAGGATCTCAGCTTTCACATTATATAATGTCTGCACAGAGAAGAGAGAGAAAAGTTCAAGGACTGTACCTACGTGATCTCAAGAAGCATTGCCGAAGGTGAACGTGTGTTGCCTGCAGCACTGAGAGCACAAAGGAAAGGCATCTGCCAGGGCATGTGGCCACTGAACCCAAGAATGCCCACTGTAGACACATGTTCTTGGGAAATCCCATCACCAACACCTTAAATTTTTGCAGACATTTTTGTGTCAGCCCATGATGTGGTGAATAAGGCAGCTAGATCCTGCCATGGCTGACAGCATGGTTCAAGTCTCAGACCTGGCGGCTTAAAAGAAACACATGGGACCAGCAGTTGGCATAATGGCTATGTCGATGAACTCCTACGTAGTTGACCGCCATTTGGGTCCCAGACCTGGTGGCTTAAACTCACACCGGGTGCATGGGCGTGCATGCTCAAGATCCCAAGAGGAGAATGGCGGAGAAGGGATTGCAGCGTGGCCATCCCCCCTAGAGGGGTGATTTCTTGCTTTCTATCTCTCTGTCTCTCTCTTTCTGGCAAGTGCACGCACGCTATCGCAAAATAAATAAATAAATAAATAAAATAAAAAAAGCAACACATAAGGCATATGTACATGCAGGTCTAAAATCCTAAAAAGAGGGTGAAACAGAAGGGACCACGGCATGACCATTCCCCATGGCGGGGGAGGTGTACTCTCGTTATCACCCTGGTGAATGCACACACTATCTGGAAAATTAAAAATAAATTAATTAAAATAAAGTAAAATACAGTCATTCCCACGCATAAGAAAAGACAGTACAATGACCATCCATACATCTATCATCAAGATTCAGAGATCATCAATATTTGCCTTCATTTGCTTCATCTATCTATCAGTCTACATTTCTGTATTTACCTCAGGTACTTTAAAGCAAATTTCATACACCCTGTCATTTCACTCCCTATTTTTAATTATATATTACTAAAAAAAAGTGGATATTTTCTTACCCAAAACCAATGCCATTGTCACAACTAGCATAATTATCATGAATTCCTCGGATCACCCACTTCAGTCCCTAAAACTTTCGTCATCATCAACCTGACTCAGCCACTACTCACAAAGGCCTAGTACTCACTGAACCCAAGAATGCCCACTGTAGACACATGTTCTTGGGAAATCCCATCACCAACACCTTAAATTTTTGCAGACATTTTTGTGTCAGCCCATGATGTGGTGAATAAGGCAGCTAGATCCTGCCATGGCTGACAGCATGGTTCAAGTCTCAGACCTGGCGGCTTAAAAGAAACACATGGGACCAGCAGTTGGCATAATGGCTATGTCGATGAACTCCTACGTAGTTGACCGCCATTTGGGTCCCAGACCTGGTGGCTTAAACTCACACCGGGTGCATGGGCGTGCATGCTCAAGATCCCAAGAGGAGAATGGCGGAGAAGGGATTGCAGCGTGGCCATCCCCCCTAGAGGGGTGATTTCTTGCTTTCTATCTCTCTGTCTCTCTCTTTCTGGCAAGTGCACGCACGCTATCGCAAAATAAATAAATAAATAAATAAAATAAAAAAAGCAACACATAAGGCATATGTACATGCAGGTCTAAAATCCTAAAAAGAGGGTGAAACAGAAGGGACCACGGCATGACCATTCCCCATGGCGGGGGAGGTGTACTCTCGTTATCACCCTGGTGAATGCACACACTATCTGGAAAATTAAAAATAAATTAATTAAAATAAAGTAAAATACAGTCATTCCCACGCATAAGAAAAGACAGTACAATGACCATCCATACATCTATCATCAAGATTCAGAGATCATCAATATTTGCCTTCATTTGCTTCATCTATCTATCAGTCTACATTTCTGTATTTACCTCAGGTACTTTAAAGCAAATTTCATACACCCTGTCATTTCACTCCCTATTTTTAATTATATATTACTAAAAAAAAGTGGATATTTTCTTACCCAAAACCAATGCCATTGTCACAACTAGCATAATTATCATGAATTCCTCGGATCACCCACTTCAGTCCCTAAAACTTTCGTCATCATCAACCTGACTCAGCCACTACTCACAAAGGCCTAGTACTTCATCTACCAGTGACAGAGGGTCAAAACTCATGTTTCTGGGCCTGACAGGTGGCATGGTGGTTGAAGGCGCTAGACTCCCACATGGCTGACTACAGTTTGAGTCCTGGACCTTGCGGTTTGCTTTCTCACTTTCTCTCACATCAAATTAAAAAAATAAAGTTGGGAACCAGCAGTTAGCATAATGGCAATGTCGCTGGACTCCCACGTAGTCAATCGCGGTTCGCGTCCTGGACCCAGTGGCTTAAAACTCACACCGGGTGCGTGTGCGTGCATGCCCAAAATCCCGAGAGGAGAATGGAGAAGAAGGGATTGTGGCGTGACCATCCCCCCTAAGGGTGATTTCTCGCTTTCTGTCTCTAATGTCTCTCTCTGTCTGTCTGGCGAGCGCATGCGCCCTATAGCAAAAATGTCTCAAAAAATAAATAAATAAAGTTAAGCAGAATAAGTCATTCTTAAAAAACAAACAAACAAACAAACAAAAACAAAAAACAACCCATATGTCTCTGTAAGTGACTGGGCTTACCCACTGCACACTGGCCATTCTACTTATGAAGCTAGCATTCTTTTCTTTAATATGTATAAAATAATTATAGTATAACTTGATATAAAATATTATATTATAAGTTTTGTAAAATGTTCAAAGAAGAGATTTCAGGATATAAAAAGTTTTCTCCTAAAAGCATGATGCCAAGATGATGCATTTCCTGGGAGTTAACAAGACTAAAAAGTCTTTAGATAGGGCTTTCTGGGAGATTTTCCTACCGAATATCCTGTTCCTACCGAAACCTGTCTGGAGCTGGGACAAACTTATACCAATCTGAAAAGGGGCCAACTGCAATTTTCCGCTCTCAGACCACAGGCATAAAGGTTGTCCAAAAATGCAGATGCAAATGCACAAAGCCACTAAGAGGGGGAGAGCTCTTTATGTCATGGAAGAACAGAACAATGGCACTGAGATAAGGGGATGCTATATAGAGGAAAATGGCAACACTCAGAGGTTCACTGTAAAATGCCTCCTGTGAAGAAGCTCACAGCTGGCACATCTGGACTGGAATAACTATAAGATCAACAAAGGAGGAATGTGGGTCAGAGTGCAAAGAAAACCTAGGGCTACAGAGTGACAAGCATGAGGCTTCCAGAAAGGGTGCCACTTGAATGTCACCTGCTGGCTGCATCTCACAAGGAGCAAGCAGCTGAGGGAAAGTGCCAGCCAGAGCTAGCAGCAAGGTGAAAGAAACGTCACCAGCCACCAGCTGTTGAGACTGAATGTACAGGGACTAGAAATGAAAGCTCTTCAGATAAACTCTAACAACATAATCTCTAACATTTATGGCCAACTGATTGTTGATAGGGATAAAGACAATCCAACGGAAAAGAAAAATCTTTTCAACACATGGCATGGTGAAGGCAGAAGATAGCAAAGTGATACATGTGAGAAGGTTCCACACTTGCTTTCAGAGACCTGCCTGAACACTGAACCCAAGAATGCCCACTGTAGACACATGTTCTTGGGAAATCCCATCACCAACACCTTAAATTTTTGCAGACATTTTTGTGTCAGCCCATGATGTGGTGAATAAGGCAGCTAGATCCTGCCATGGCTGACAGCATGGTTCAAGTCTCAGACCTGGCGGCTTAAAAGAAACACATGGGACCAGCAGTTGGCATAATGGCTATGTCGATGAACTCCTACGTAGTTGACCGCCATTTGGGTCCCAGACCTGGTGGCTTAAACTCACACCGGGTGCATGGGCGTGCATGCTCAAGATCCCAAGAGGAGAATGGCGGAGAAGGGATTGCAGCGTGGCCATCCCCCCTAGAGGGGTGATTTCTTGCTTTCTATCTCTCTGTCTCTCTCTTTCTGGCAAGTGCACGCACGCTATCGCAAAATAAATAAATAAATAAATAAAATAAAAAAAGCAACACATAAGGCATATGTACATGCAGGTCTAAAATCCTAAAAAGAGGGTGAAACAGAAGGGACCACGGCATGACCATTCCTCATGGCGGGGGAGGTGTACTCTCGTTATCACCCTGGTGAATGCACACACTATCTGGAAAATTAAAAATAAATTAATTAAAATAAAGTAAAATACAGTCATTCCCACGCATAAGAAAAGACAGTACAATGACCATCCATACATCTATCATCAAGATTCAGAGATCATCAATATTTGCCTTCATTTGCTTCATCTATCTATCAGTCTACATTTCTGTATTTACCTCAGGTACTTTAAAGCAAATTTCATACACCCTGTCATTTCACTCCCTATTTTTAATTATATATTACTAAAAAAAAGTGGATATTTTCTTACCCAAAACCAATGCCATTGTCACAACTAGCATAATTATCATGAATTCCTCGGATCACCCACTTCAGTCCCTAAAACTTTCGTCATCATCAACCTGACTCAGCCACTACTCACAAAGGCCTAGTACTTCATCTACCAGTGACAGAGGGTCAAAACTCATGTTTCTGGGCCTGACAGGTGGCATGGTGGTTGAAGGCGCTAGACTCCCACATGGCTGACTACAGTTTGAGTCCTGGACCTTGCGGTTTGCTTTCTCACTTTCTCTCACATCAAATTAAAAAAATAAAGTTGGGAACCAGCAGTTAGCATAATGGCAATGTCGCTGGACTCCCACGTAGTCAATCGCGGTTCGCGTCCTGGACCCAGTGGCTTAAAACTCACACCGGGTGCGTGTGCGTGCATGCCCAAAATCCCGAGAGGAGAATGGAGAAGAAGGGATTGTGGCGTGACCATCCCCCCTAAGGGTGATTTCTCGCTTTCTGTCTCTAATGTCTCTCTCTGTCTGTCTGGCGAGCGCATGCGCCCTATAGCAAAAATGTCTCAAAAAATAAATAAATAAAGTTAAGCAGAATAAGTCATTCTTAAAAAACAAACAAACAAACAAACAAAAACAAAAAAC